GTTAGGACAACATGCTAAGGACCATCATATCAGCCCAAGCAGTATTGAGTCATGTTTCAGCATTTTAAAGAAATGTAGGAACAAATTTGACTGTCTCATTCATGAAATGCTATTTATTAGACAATTAACCCAGTCTGAATAAACAATGTGACTCTGTCAAAGCAAAGCTTTTTTATCTAACACAGGGATTAATATCCCACTGTTATGAACTTTGACATTGTAGATTAGCTTTTTTCTCTTGATTATAGTTGCTGTATATTTTTTACTTCATCATTTGATCTTGAAAATGACACCATGAAGGAGTCGAAACGTCGATCTTTTCTTTTTAGCGTTATTTTTATATTAAATATTTATACAAAACGTACTCTTATTAATTATTTACTTCCCACGTTTATTGAATACAATCAAAGAAATGATTTGTCAAAGTATATTGAAAATAAATAAAAATGGGTTTAACTGACTTTTGCATCCATTTAGTCTACACATAATTAATGGTTGACAACAAAAAACAGCAATCAACAGAACCAGTGAACCTTTCCAGAGTGTCAGTCAAACTTAACAACTGACCAATCAGAAAGTCATAGGAACACGCACATGTCCTACAAACCAGTGCTTTCCCTCAAACGCACGTGTCAGTATGCTTTTACATGGTCAATTTTTGGGACCTTATATTAAAGGGGCGGAGCTTAGCGGAAAGGTCTGTTGCTGTTATTTATACAAAATACAATTTCCTTGCTGCTCTCGAAAATACAGTAAAAACCCTTAATATGTGTGCTCCGCTTATAATCTTTGGCTAAAAAACCCATTGCTGTGACGGCCCAATATCTGTCATCAGTAAAAATAATGATGTTAAATGCTGAGCAAAGAAAGCGGTATAAAAGTGGTGCATGAAAGTTTTTGCAAGCACACTGTGTCAAAGTATGTGTGCGGCCCTCGGTCTTAAATAAAAAATTCGCTTAAGCCCTCTGACCAGTTTTTATGCCCTCCGACCAATTGTTATGCCCACCGGCGGTTTATGTAATTTCATCTTGGTATTTTTTTTATGGCTTCCTTGGATAGATTGTGTTCGTCCCTATTACCCTGGACGTCATGTAACCACTACTCCATCTTTCCCATTTCCATAACAGTCTTGTCTTGTGACAATATCTGAACACAAGTGAAAAAAATATTTCTAGGTATATTTTTAATAAATTTGCATAAACTTAAATTTGAGTGATGAGAATGTTTGGTAACTCCGGACTATATTTTTCCCGTTTAATTGGCGTTTGTGTATAGAGGCATCTGTGTTATTATTAAGATTAACCTTATAATTCATTTTTCCACTGGAAATACCATTTGACATTGTAAAGTAGTACGGTACCAACAGGTACATAGTGCCATTCCTTTTGAAATAGGCGTATCGTTTCAAGACACACCTCCTAAATACTAAAAACACTAATTAGGTTAATCTTCGGTCAAGAACTTTATGAATTCTGTATAAACTTGCTTAAATATATTATTATTATTATTATTATTATTATTATTATTATTATTATTATTATTATTATTATTGCTTATTATAGTTGATTGAATGATTGTTTAATAATGTTTATTAAGGCATAATGCAAAACTTCATTGGAACTTAGATCAATCATTCATGATAAATGTAACTTGCACCCCAATTAAATGCACGTACTGTGCGCAAATGACGATTCGTGCATGGACCTAATATAAGACGTTGCACGCAAATATTCAATTTAAAATGTGTGTGAAAAATAGGCAATTATATTGATAGTGATAATACATAAAAATATGTGTTTCGTAACACGCCTAAATAGACCCTTGTCATTTGATTGGTGGATTTTGTATCACGTGACATTGGTTATTTACCACATGTCGTCACGCACCATGGAAATGGAACAGTCGAATGGAACAGTCGATCTATCAAACATAAATATCCTTCCGATTGCACTCATAAACATTCACTATTTTTATAATAGTAATATTTTTATAATAGTATAATAACGGATCTATTATACTTTATAGTCATGTTACATGTTTGATGTCATTATTAAGATGAACCTTATAATTCATATTTTTTTTAAACATGGTAATAGGCCTACCATTGTAGAATAGAACCAACAGGTCTAGTCTCATTCCTTTTGGAATAAGCAATGTCATTTCTAGACACCCGTCCTAACTACTAAAAATACTAATATTAATTAAGATAGGCCTAATCTTGGTCAAAAACTTTTATCTGTATATGCTTACTTAGATAGATCTATTGTAGTTCCTAATTGTATCCAAAGTCATTGAGCTGTGTGTTATGTTTTGGTCCAAACACTGAATTACAGTTTGTACAGTAGGCTGATCATTTGAAAGATTTTATGACCAAAGAATGTAGGGATTCCCACTGCAATAACAACTATATTTAGATACTGAATTAAATTTATTTACAGCTCTATATTATAATATATATGTTACAAGCCTGTCTCTTATACACATCTAGATGTGTATAAGAGACAGGTACAAAACGCTCCCACGTCAAGTTGCACCGAACAGTTCCTATATCATGAATGTTGAGGAGGGCGCAAAACTAAAAGTTGAATGTGGAGTCAAAGATGACGCTGAGCTTCGTTTTGAGCCTTTTACTGGTAGAACTCAACTACAGGTTCATGGAGATAGAATATTGATTGGTTCAAAGAAGATATATTATGTAATTGACTCACTTGAACATTCTGGAATCTACACCTGCTGGGATAAAGACAACCAAGACGCCCCGCCTATAAAAGTGGAGGTTCGGGTGGTTGATCGTAAGTATTAAATACATCGACTCCTATTTCAAAATAATCAGAGTGAATTCTTTTCGCCAATAAGCTTTTATAATAAAATAATTTTATTTATTATTACTTCCAGATAATCATGAACCCATTCGACACATGCGCTATCGACTGCGAACGCTTGGGACAACGCCTATGCTGCAGATGTCGCAGATGTGGTGGATACATACATAAAGACTGTTTGATGAAGTGGTTTGAAACACACACAACCTGTCCACTTTGCAGGTTTCGCTACAATGCAGATGAAATTCAACAAGTTTTTGAAGAAAATCGACCTCCTGCGAGCCATACTTACGCGTACGCAGCAGTGGGCCTTTGTGCAGCGTTGCTGATTTCGTTCATCCTACGCCGCCGTTATTAACCACATGAAGCAGGATGATGGGGTGTTGTTTTCAATTACCTTAAAATATACTGTCTTTCATGGTTAAGAATATATTGAAAAATTTAATTCCTTTTTTGAATTGATTGATTAATGTGTATTTAGCTAAATTACTTAATACGGAATATATCTATATTTTACTATTTGGTATTTTAGTGTACGATTAATAACATATAATTGGTGATTGAAATATCGGTATGTTTTGTGTTCTTCGACCCTACACGCCTATCCAATCGTACCAGTGACTAAAATATGCACATAATATAAGTGTTTGATACTAAGATGAACAGACTTAGAGGTGAATGGTACGGATAAATGATATTGAACACACCAAACAAATGCATAGACTGTATACATAATTAGTATAGGTTGTCGAAAATATATATAATATATATTATATACATTTTTTTTATATATATACTTGCCGCAAGCCTCTAATTTATCATTTTCCTAGTGTTAGAAGCTAGTTAGAAACTTTCGGAGAGTGCCACCAGCGTCTTTCTATATCGAGAATTTTTTGTTGTTCAAGTTGGTAAATAAACAAAAACAAAATATGCAAATTAACGTAATTGTTGGCAAATTAAGGAATTTTAGTTAGATTTCATTTTGAAATAGGTATTTACGTTTTATTAAATGGTGTATAATACTGTAATTCTGATTCTTTTGGACATAACTTAGAATATATTATTCATCAAATGATTTTCAAATGCAATTTATTATTTTTATATTCGCAATAATTTTATATACTTGTCTTCTCTCCTTGTCTGTAATTTTTCTCTTTCTTTTCCTCTGTCTTCCCTTTTAATCTGTTTAGCTTTAATCCCCCACCTTGTCATCTATTTTAAGAATGTTACCTTAGGGAGTTTTCTAAATGTTTTTTTATCAATTGTAATGTGTTTTATATGTTTATTGAATAAGTGATTTTTAAAATATGGGATTTTCCTCCCATAACGATGATCGAGTGAGCGACCCGAACTGTGCTGCGAAAAGAAAGAATAAATACATAAGCCTATTCAGATACAAAAGTTCAGTTTCAGCATTTATTCGGTCGTCATTACTTGTTGTTAGCTGTGTAGTATGTCAAACACGAGGCCACAGTAATACTCGAACTAAAATTTGTTTAGGATGATTAAAATATGTCATGAAAAATTTGATGTCCAAAAGCTTAGTGTGGTAGGAAGTTGGAATCAGATTGTCATTAGAGTCAATTGATTTCACACTTATGATGTGCCGATACAACTCTAGTATCATTTGAAACAGAGATTAATATGATGCGCCCTCTTCTTATGCATCTTCCAGATGCTCCCAGTACCCCAGTTGGCTAAAAAGTCTGGGTTAGAATCCTGGTTGGGGACATTTCTTCACACAGATTTCTCATTTTCACCGATTTTAATAATGTTTGTCTATTTACTTCCCACGTTTACTGAATACAATCAAAGAAATTATTTGTCAAAATATATTTAGAAAAAGAATGGGTTTAATTGACTTTCAAACTCTTGCATCCATTCAGTCTACATATTCCATAAATGAATGACTGACAACCAACACAGCAATCAACAGAACCAGTGAAGCTTTCTGGAGTGTCAATCAAACTTAACAACTGACCAATCCGAACAGGGTCAGGAACACGCGCATGTCCTAACAAAGACAGTGCTGTCCCAAAAACGCACGTGTCAGTATGCTTTTACACATCGTGTTTTGGGACCTTAGCAACAATATAAGGAGCGGGCTTAGCGGAAAAGTACTTGGAATACAAATTCAGTGCAGCACATGTTGCTGTATACAACATAAATGCCCTTTATAGTAGTCGGACTTAAGATCAATGCCACTCTAGCCTGACTGACCTCTATACTGCTAAGGCCGCCTGCCACACGCAATCCCATTGCCTGACACTGACAGTTTTTCCCCGCCCATTATGATGATTGATGGTTTGATTGATTTACTGGTTGATGGTTCAGATCACCCAACATGTTGATTGATAGGTTTCTTGGTTTATTGATTAACTGGTAGTTTGTACTGCGCATGCCCGTATCATGGTCAGTCGACATACGCATACACACAATGCACACAACATAGGTTCATGTTGATTAACTTTGGATACCATTGGCGGATCTGAGGGGCGTGAGAGGTCGTGACCCCCTTTGAGCTGCCTAGCAAAAACAAATTTCAGACCTACCCTTTCAGGACCCGTGTGCCCATGGGCGCAGATTATAAAGGGAGAAAGAAAGAGAGAAATATGACACATCCCCAACATGTTATAAAAAGGGGGTTCGACAGCAATACAAATTCAAAAGATGTATCAATGACCCAGGGTTTAAAGGAGCGCTGTACAACCAGAATACTGTACATCTTATCTTAAAGTAAGATACCGGTATCTCTAGCCCACAATCGTCTGAATTACCTATAATCAGTGGCGTATCTAGGAGGGATGCGCACGCCACTCCAAAAATTACTGGCGCCAGCATCCCCATTCCAAGACTAGATACACCATTGCCTACAATGCGCTCCATTTTGACTATAATGGTAATGTGATGATGAATTTTCCTATACAGTATAAGAATGTCATTTCCAGGCATCTAGAGGTACTATTTCCCCAAATTTTTGCACCTCAGCCCCACTGAGGTGAATGTGGACTCATGGCTTTGAAGTAGGTAAAGTGAATACATCAAACAATTTTTCTATTAGTTTTATTTTCTATGGCACATCACACATTAATGAAATCTCTATGGTTTCCAAAAACTGCTGATAAAAGATCATTTCATTTTGACTACAATGGTGATGTGGTGAATATTACTATACAAATTTAATATAAAAGTCTCATTTCCGGCCATCTACTGTAGATGTTACTATTTCTTCAAATTGTGGACTCACGAAATGTCCCACCCCCCTCTCCCACACAACGCAGTGTAAAAACACATCTGCGCCCTTCCTTATAGTGAGTTGACCATGGTAAAGTTGGGCCCTCATAATCCTGACTCCCCCTCCCCCAGTAAATTTGACCCTAAATCCGCCCCTAGATACGAGCATGTGCAGTTCAAACTACGAATTGGCTTATTGATTGAGTGATTGATTGATTGTTAGTTATAATCCTTCAACAATACACAACATATTGACTGCAGGGGCGGCGCCAGGAATTCTTCGACGAAGGGTTCAAGCTCCCTGACAAGGGGTCCAAGCCTCCAACAATGGGTTCACAAACCCTCCCGTCGGGAAGCCTAGCACAATCCCCTCACCTCACAATCCATGTTTAATATTACCATAATTATTCTAATTATTTTTATTACAATCATTCATCATTACATGAGATAATGTAAATATAAATACCGATACTGAACTGATTTGAATCATAAAAAACTATCATTTAAAATGATATTCCCATAAAAGTTACCTGCATGAAAGCAAAGGTAATAATACAATTAAAACAAAGAGCTTAAGTGAAGAGGGCAACGTGTGACTGGCAGGCAACATAAGACCTGATGGCAATTTTCTTGCAGCTTGCAAAAATACATTAAAAACCCTAAATGTGTGTGCCCCGCTTACTATCTTTGGCTAGAAACCCATTGCTGTTACGGCTCAATACTTATCATCAGTAAAAATAATGATGTTAAAAGCTGAGCATAAAGCGGTGTAAAAGCAGTGCATGAAGGTTTTTGCGAGCACACTGGAAATGTCAGAGTTTGCACACAGCCCTCAGTTTCAAATCGAAATTCACTTAAGAATTCCAGCCAAACTTTATACCCTCTGACCAATTTTTAAGCTCACTGATTTTTTACGTAGTTTCATCTTGGTATTTTCCGTTGCACAAAGTTTAATATGTCATCCTTAGATAGCTTGTGTTCGTCCCTATTGCTCTGGACGTCATGTACGACTACTCCATCCTCCCATTTCCATAACAGTCTTGTTTTGTGGCAATCTCTGTATGCAAATGAAAAAAAAAGTAGTTTTAAATATTTGTGTAAATGTATATAAACTTAAATCTGGTGTAAAGCTGTGGTCATCTGCCACGTTGCCATAGACAACAAGTTTTTTAATGGAAAATAATATGTGGAATTACTTAATAGTTTACTATCTTTGCAAATGGAATTTGGTAAATTTGTTGGAAAGTGACAATACTGGTGCATACGAAAAAGAGATGGAAAGATAAATGTAAATGGGATAGAAGGGAAAAATCACTGGCATTCCACATTAGCAAATAATCTGAAAAGATGGATAGATAGATGCCCAAAAAGCAACGATTCAGTCAATGTTGGGAGAGATACAAATTAAACAATTTAAAATATCACCGTGAACATCTTACCTAAACGATGCTATTGAATCTGACGGGCATTCAAACAATGACTCGTTTGTAACCAAGTTGAAGAAATACTTTCGTTTTTGTGACCGGCTAAAATTCATAGTCCAAGGTTCTGAGATAAAAAAACAAAAATAGAATATAAGATTTTAAATAGAAATTAATAGGATAAATTTTGGCTCATACATAATCATATTCAGACATCTCTTATAACAAATGAGGTTCGATTGGATTATATGTATT